TAATTTCAAAAGAAATGGATGGACATGGTCACTGGTTATTCCTCACTGTCTGTTTGGATAATGTAATAATTATTTTATTGAGTATATATCATTATAATAATCCAAACCAGAACAAATTATTGCTACAAAAAATAGCCCAAAATTTAGATCACCTAAAATCGACTTGCTCAACAAACAACGTCATCATTGGAGGAGATCTCAACTTGATTCAAGATTAATTTTATGACAGATGTCCCACGAAACATGACTCAGCTTACCCAAATACAACATTCAACAACTTTTGCAATGAACAGAATCTAGTTGATGCGTAGCGTCATCTCAATCCCTGGTCAATAAAATTCTCATGGTTCGGTTCAAACTGCAAATCAAGAATTGATCACTGACTTGTAGCAAATTAATTATTGATCAGTGAAATCAACTCTGATATTTCTGTAGTACCTTTCACCGACCATAGTCTTATTTCCTTACAAATAAAACCGGTCTTACAGGGAACTTCTGTAAACATTTTTGGGAAGACATAAAAATATTATTACATCTAATTTTTACAGAAATTTTTAAAAATTATACTCTACCTCCTACGATGAGACAAGGAATTATTATATCTATCCTCAAACCAGATAAGGACCCAAGAGTTATTGAGAATAGAAGACCTATTACAATCAGAAATTCAGATTATAAATTACTAACCTACATCTTTACCATGCATCTCCAAACTGGAATCTCAAAGGTTATTGCAGAATCACAATCTGGTTTCTTAAAAGGAAGATCAATCCACAACAATATTAGACTGGTCATGGACCTGACTGAATATAGGGAGATGATTCAGGACGATGGTTTTATTATTTTCTTAGACTTTTACAAAGCCTTCGACTCTGTGGAACACCAGTTTTTATTTTCAGTTCTTGAATGTTTAGGATTTGGAGAAAAGTTTATTAATTTAATAAGAGGTCTATATTAAAACATCAGTAGTTGTGTAATGTTTCCTAAAGGCACCACAGCTAGATTTAACATTAATGTTGGTATTCCTCAAGGATGTCCTATCTCCCCATATATTTTTATTTTAGCTGCAGAAATGTTAGCATTCTTTCTTAAAAATTGTGTAGACATTGAGAAATTACACGTCTTTGGTACAGAATTAATTATTAGCCAGTTAGCAGATGCCACTACCATCTTCTTAAAAAACCACAAGCAGGTTCCATTAGTAATTGATAAAATAAAATTATTTTCAGAGGCCTCAGGGCTAACACTAAATTTAAAAAAATGTGAACTTCTAGCCATTCATGACACATCCCTAAAAGGAATATCTAATATTCCAATTTAATCTGAAATTAAATACTTAGGAACTGTTATTACCAAAAACCAAGAATCAACTCTAACAATTGAAAACAAAATCAAAGAAAACAACAAAGTCCATGCAATAATCCAGATATACAACAATAGTATACAATACAATACCACAAGGTATACAACAATATGTCAACAAGAAAGAGGGACGGCAATGGAGGAGGGGGCATACCAAAGAGACCATCTTATCACAAGCAGAACTGGTTTGTTCCACTTTGGAGTAAGCTGTTGGGGGAAGAATCAGTTTTATTGTGTGTTTCCTTGACTGATGAAGCCTTCCGGACCGAAGGTGAAACGTTTCAGCACAAAAAAAAAAAAAAAAAACTGTCCATATGACCTGACTGAAAAATGTTGAAAATCAAAGAATGTAAATCCAAACTTAACTTATGGCTCCAACGAGAGCTTTCTATATTGGGACGAATTCATTTAACAAAAATGGAAAGTTTGTCAAGATTAATATACGCAACTTGTAGCACCGCTGTCCCAAATAGTTTAATTAAGACTATCAATCAAATGAACATGAACTTCATCTGGAGAAACAGACCACACTACCTGAGAAAAGGTCACATGGTCAAAGAATATAAAGTCTGAAAGTAATTGTTCTATTTCGTATAGGCTTCGACCTTTAAGATTATGGCTAGTGGGTTTATCCCGTCGCGCACAGCGCAGCACTGAACCCACTAGCGATAGCCTTAAAGGGTGAAGCCTATACTAAATAGAATCTGGGGTTACAGTACGTAACCAACGACTTTGAGTGCCTCAATGGTAACCTTAAGATTAACTGGTTGAAATCCTGGATAAAAAATTCTGAATCACTTTGGTATTGTGTCCCCAATTATATATTTAACAAAAGAGGTGGTCTAAAACTAATACTTCTAGCTGATTTCAATATACATAAATTGCCCATCAAATTGTCAGAGTTTCATAAACAAGTGTTATTATACTGGAAAATGATCTACGTACATAATTACTCACTACACTCTACTATCATATTGAATAACAGATTTGTACTATATCACAATAAGTCATTATTTTACAAAGACTGGATGGAGAAGAACATTTGGTGTGTTGTACACTTAATGGATGCTAATGGTTACATGTTAAACTATGAACAATTCTGTACAAAGTATAAAGTCTATCCCCTCAAAGTTGAATTTACCAGATTAATTAAAGCATTACCAAAACAATTTCTTAATCTAATACAAAATACAAAGTATATTAGCATATCATCCTATAACCCCACATTTACCCAATCTATCTACAAAGTATTAATGGAATATAATTTACTGACAAAAAATTCAACAACCACACAAATAGAAGCTGTCTAAATGAAACCTTATTCCCTGGGGGGGAAAAAAAACAACAAAAAAACACTGCAAATTTGACAAAAAAAATCAATTGAAATATCCTGATGCATGCTCAATAATCAGGTAGAAAAATCTATAAAAAAGTTAAATCTGGTCCTCTGGACATTCACAAAAAAAAACAAACAAAGCAAAACATCAAAAAAATGTAGAAACGTTTCGTCTTTCATCCAAAAGACTTCTTATTTCTTCTTATTTCTAATTTTTACTTGATGGCCGACTGGAGTCCTGTTTGGGTTTCTTATCTGCTTTCAGGAAGGCCCAGTTAGGATATCCACATTGCTCTAGAGC